TTTTTTTTTTTTTTTTTTTTTTTTTTTTGTGATACTAGGAATTGAACTCAGGACCTTGCTGTTGCGAGGCAGGGGCACCACTGAGCTACATCCCCGGCCCATCAGAGCTTCATCGTTCTCAATTTAAAATACAGTTTGGGCCAGGGGTATAGCTCATTGCTGCTGTGCCTGCCTGGCAAGCTCAAGGTTCTGAGTTCGATATCAGGTATGGGGCTGGAAGGGTGGAAAACATAGTTTAATGAGCTCAGTTATCTGGTTTCCTGGATTATCAGAGTGAAAATAGAAGCAGCAAAGAAAGCAAGACAAACACTTGGTAGGGAATAGTGACTATAGTGAGAGGATAAGGGAGAGAACTGGGAAGCAGATACAGAGAATGTAAAAAAATGGTCTAGGGCCCATTCATTAATATAAGAACTAATAATTAACCGTAATCCTGAGCCTAGAAAATCTCAAGTTATCATTGCCTGCTACATAAAATACTAGGCAAATGCTTCCGAACCATTAAGGTATCGCCTGTAAGATTTTGGGTAGACTTGGTACTCAATGAGGGTTAGTTTCAGATATCTGAAAAAAGTCTGAGGACACCAATCCAATGATGGCAAGGATATAGGGCATTATTTCCTTCATGCACAGTGGAAGTGATTTGTGCTAAGAGATTCAGCTGCTTCTTGGTGTTAGATCATGGAAGTTTGCATTAGTGCTCTAGCTCAAGTTTATAATTAACCTACCGAGCCATAAGAGTGGGTAAATAGCATAGGCAAAATTACCAGGTCACAATGCCCTCAAGCTTTTAAACATAGCTCCTGACAGTCTTATAGTTTTCCAGACTCTGGCCTTCGAGGGTATTATTTTTTGTTTTCTATTTTTGCTTTACTTGCCTTTAAATTTCAGAAATTTTACTACCATGGAGTGGGGAGAATATATGATTGCATGTATGTAAAGCATTTATACTTCATAATTATATTAAGCAAAAAGCATTTGAGATATTTTTGTGTGTTGGTATTGTTTCTTTCTTTCTTTTTTTTTTTTTCTTGGAATCAGGAATCGAACTCGGGTCCTTGCTCTTTTTTATCTATAATGATTTAGTTTAAGGTAGTTGCCCACAAGGCTGAGGAGTGTGAAGGGTATGGCTCAGTGTTAATGTGTTTGCCCATTTTGCATGAGGCCCTGGGTTCAATCCCCAGCACTACAAAGGGGGAAAAATAGTTTCCCACATATGCTAATTGAAAAATCATAACATTAAGTCAAATAAATCAAGGGCTCTTTTTTATTAGGTGTTTGTTACTTTTGATCAGAGCATCAGTACAAGTGGCAGAGGACTTAGAGCATTTGTGGGTCCTAAATTCAATTCCTAGCACTGAGGGGGGTTAATAAAAAGGATACAGAACTGTGAGATAAATTTTATATATTTAGTGACTATTTTTTTCTTTTTCTCTTTTTGTTGTTTTGTTTTGTTTTGAGACAGGGTTTCACTATATAATCCTGGGTAGCCTTGAACTCACTATGTGGCCTAGGCTGGTCTTGAACTCACAGCACTCCTGTTGCCTCAGTCTCCTAAGTGCTGGGATTACAGGCTTGTGCCACGTCTAGTCTGAGTGGCCTTTCAGTTAGGAGCCTAGGGGCTGGGGATTTAGCTCAGTGGTTCTGCCACCTACCTTGTAAGCTCAAGTACCTGAGATCGATCCCCGGTACACCAGCCCCCAAAAAATCAAATCAGTTAGGAGCCTAATATGGTGGCACATGCCTGTGATTTCAGAACTTTGGGAGGATGAGGCAGGAGAAGCAAAAGTTCTAGACCAACCTGGCAACTTAGCAGCTTACTAAGACCCTGTCTCATAATTTAAAAAATGGCTAGGGATACAGTTCGTTGGAATTGTCTTGGGTTCAGGACAGTGTCTGGTACTGTAAAAATAAAAGTCTATTTGGTTTTTTCTAAATCTCATATTTAGGTGCCATTCGTTTTTTAGTAGCAAGGTATTAGGAAACAAATATTAGCTTTTCTGTATAGAATTTTTATTTTTGTGTCCCAAATTATATGATAAATATCTGTATTTTTTACCTTAGGAGTCGTCCTTCCATGGAACTTGTGCTCTGGAAACCTCTCCCTGAACTCCTTTCCGATAAGCCAAAGCCATCATCTAATGTTAAAAACTTCATGGGAGAGAGCCAAACTAGGCATGCAGCTGCTGGCACTGCCTTCCCACAGAGAACTGAACTGTTCTTGGAACCTCCACAGACAGGGGTGCCTCTTTACAGTAGTCTGGACACAGCTGCTAGCACAGAAGAAGAGATGGAACTCTAGAAACCAGTTTCTGTACTAAATTTGTCAAAATTTAAAAGGCTGTCATGTTCAGTAATGAGCCTACTCTGCATAGTGTCGGGACTTGAAGGTTTTATGAAATGGATGTCATGATACATCCATCCGTGATTTGCGGTGGGACTCCCATGTCGGGTAGACGTGTATTGAAGTCACCTTTTGCCATGGAAGTGTGTCTCAAGAGGAAAACAGTTTTCTGGCAGATTTCCAAGAGAATTTTAGGCTATAGTCTTTTCAAAGGCAAGTATAGAAGTGGCCATTGTAAGAGTGACTTAAGTCATCTATCACCGTGTTTAAGCCGTTCATACACTTAGAACACTCTTAAGATGAAAAAGATGATTAAGGAAGAAGGATGCTCCTAACCACCAGTGTACCCTGGGGGTCACAGCTTGAGACTCAACTGTTTATGGTGGTGACTGTGATTGGGAAGCCGGAGGGAAGAAAGCAGTAGTTTAAGCCTGTTTCTAAGGAATTTAACTGAGGTCATGAAACTTGTGTATCAGTTGTTCAAAATAGCTGTATTGATAAAATAGCCAGTGGTATTGTGGTTCTCCTCTATCGCAGAAAATGCAACAAAAATACAAAGAAAAGATTTTTTTTTCTCAAGGCTTTTTTGCCTTGTGCTACTTTTGCTTGTTGATCTCCCTCCCATAATTGATAACCCTGGTTTTTCGGCGATGTTTACAGCTTTAACTTTGAGTGCTAGTTTAAAGATTATGAGGCGACCCATCTGCCTGTGGGAGAAGCACCCTTTAAGTACTGTGCCGTGTCAGCAGAACCCAGCAATGACAACATCTGTTGTTTAAAAAGGAGAGGTTGTACCCGTGTTAGCAAGTTGTTTTTAAATGTTAATGTGGAAAACTGATTAACTGCTAATGTAAAGGAGGTGACATTGAGATTACTGTGATAGCCAGTTTGGTGTTTATACTGTTGTGCAGTAAGCCTAAAAAATTAGTAAAGCATAGCTACCTGCCAGGACGAATCACTGCCTTTTGAATACTTAATCCAGGCTCGAGATGTCTTGGGAATAACTGGGATTAAAGTTTTTTAATTTCTCAGGAAGAGCCCTTCTGTGTGTCAACCATTCATAGTACAGATGTAGTGACAGTTCCTTTATTGCTACAGAACATCCAGTATAAGTTATTAAATGAGTACACGATTGTAAGATCACCATAATATTATAGGAGACCACCCAGTTTTTTTTTCTGGGTTTCTTCCTCTAGGAGGCAGATACTTTTTGTAGGAGGGAAAAATGGTTTATGCCAAGTAAGGTGAATATTTGGAAAGCCAGCTTCCAGGCAGTTTTGAACCTATGTTGAAATCCCTCCCTTTGTTACAGATGATGTAGAATCACAGGTCTGTTAATTGGACTGTTTCTTCTCTAGCCTGTTGTTTCTGCTTTCTTCATTTCTGTCTGGATAGTCAGGAAAAGATTTAATGTTTAATATTTAAACAAAATAATGTCTACACAGTAAAATTATTCAAACTTCAAACCAGTATTGAATCCAGTTGGAAACCAGCTAATAGTTTCTTAATCTCAGACCTAGAGATGAATGTAAACTGTATTATGTTGAAATGTGCAAGTGTTTGATTCATGCCATTTGAAAAACTGCCTTGAGGTCATTGTTTAATGGGACCAACTTGTAAAGTTTATAGCCTTAAGTCTTTGTGTTAAAAAGTTTTAGTACAACTCAAAAACATAATGGGACTGCCTAGAGTTTGAGTTTCGTCCCAGTGCTGCGGAGGAAAGGGAGATGGCAGCTTTCCAAAGAAAGACCTGTAGCACATTAAGAGATCTTCTATCTTCTGTATAAATTGTTGGCCTCTGATCAGAGATCTGTATTATAAAAAGGAAAAGATAGCCCTAAAACAAGACTGATACAGGGGATAATCTAGGGCAAAATTAGGAGTATGTTTATTACAATCCAAAATCCCCCATTTGTTTCAGGGATTATCTGACAGAATCATTATTTCTGCAGGAAAATAAACGTTGAATGCTCCTTTTTGGACTACTATCTTCTGGCATACATTTTACACAAATTTTCTTCATCCTTGTGGTGCTTTTTCATCTGAGCCATCTCAACAGTCCCAGCGTCCTTTTTTTTTCTTTTTTTTTCTGTATAAGGCTTTTGTTTTTGCCTTAAGGTTTCCCTAGGAAATTAACAGCTCTTTTCATTTTGTACAGTTTTTGCATCATGGATCAAACATTGGCTTAATATAGTAGTGTATAAAGAAAAAAACTTAAGCAGGTAAGCTTTAAAGAACAAATGCATATTTTCTCTGAGTTTGAGTAGGATATACTTGTTTTTTTTGTTTCTGATATGAATAAGTCCATTTTTCACAAATATTAAATCATTTTTTGAAAATGTTACCCATTTTTGAAAAGTTACAAATGTAAAATATAGAAAAGTAATTAGGGTAGGGCTTAGAACCATGAGAAAAATGTTTACTGGCAGGTCCATTTATTACTTTGGAACTTTTTTTGTAATAGTGACAAGAATGGTTGCAGGGCTAGGGAAGTTCTGGGAGATGCTGTCAGTTTTACTTTAAAATGAGAACCTGGTGTTTCTGTATTTTATCATTTTCAATAAAACTTAAGTGTTTTGGACTTTTGGATGTATTTGTATTCCTGCACTTAAGTAATCGAAACATAAACTAAAGCCAGTTGAGCGGTTTCCATTGAGAGCAGTTTACTGCTCCGATGGCAGTCATGACTGAATCTTCAAAAATGTTCAAATGTGGATTGGAAATGGTTTATAAGGTTTGCAGAGAATGATTTGGGACCTTTAAAAATGGAGAATGGGAAAATCCTGAGATGTTCAGTTACATAGTTCTCATCTGAAGAGTTTAAGTCACTCACTGGGTGGCAGTATTGCTTGCAGTATTTACAGTTCATTCTTTGATAAGTGGATTCTGAGTAGTAGGGCAGAAGGTGTTAGGTTAGGTGCAGAAAACAAAGGGTATTTTGTTTTTAATCAAAATTTGAAATGCATGGCTAAAAGTTACTGAGTTTACCGGTTTGAAAACTGATGCCTAATAGTGATAATTTAGTGTTAGAATCAACCTACCAGATTGTGCTCTTCCCACTTGCACAGTTGATTTTACAGAATCTCTTTTTTTGTTGGGTTTTTATTTTTGTTTTGTTTTTGAGACAGGGTTTCACTGCATAGTAGTGACTGACCTAGAACTCACTATGTAGCCCAGGCTGGTCTCAAACTCACAGCGATCCTCCTCCCTCAGCCTCCTGGAGTGCTGTGATTACAGGCTTGTGCCACCATGCCCTGCTAAAGAATCTTGTAGTAGTATCTGAGATGTCATTTAGATTTCACCGAAGTAATAGAGAGCGGTCCAGGCTGTGTAACATTAAGCTCCTTGAGGAAACAGAATTTTGTATCAGTTTGAATCAAATATTTTAGCTCTGTTGCTTCCCTTGTTCATCAGACTACCAGTGGCACTTTTGTTTTTTTGTACGGGTTCTCAGCCAGGCTGGCCTTCAACTCAAAAGATTCTCCTGCTCCCACCTTTTAGGTGCTAGGATTGTAGGTGTGTGCCACCACACTCAGAGAATTTTAGAAATGAAGCAGACACAGTTAAAACGCAGTATTTAGCCAGGCCTGGTGGCATGCCTCTGTAATCCCAGCACTGGGGAGGCTGAGGCAAGAGGATCACAAGTTTGAGCCCAGTGTGGGCAATTTAGCAAGATCCAGTCTCAAAATTTAAAAAAGTTATGTAGCTCAGTGCAAAAGCCTGTTTTCAAACCCTAGTACTGCCTCAAAAAAAAAGTGATTGTTTAACTTTCAATATGTTTGGTGGGAAAGCCAGTCTTCCCGTCTCTTGATGAACTTTTGAAGTTATTTAAGATTAAATTCTAAGGAAGCTAGAATTTAAATACTTAGCTTCTGCCCACCATTGTGTTCTTGCTTTATCTCTGCCCTAGCACATCTAGTATAACAGCAAGAAAGCGGATTGTATCCATGTTGAGGCCCGGAGAAATGGCCTGCATGCATCTTGTCACTGCTCTTTTTAATCTCAATTACGGCATAGCCCTTTAACTTGGTGGGGATTGCTTTGATTTTGTGAAAAGACCATGATTTTTAGTTTTAACCATGCCATTTGGTGTTTCAATATGAAAATGTCCTTGAATACCAGGTGTTTTCTCAAAGCTGAACTGGTATTTTTCACCCATCTGTGCAGGAAATGAAAACCCTGGTCTAAATTATGTACGTCCTATCCTGTTGGTACAGCTGCCTCTTTCATATTATGTCACTGAATGTAAATGATTTAAGCCTCTATTTCCAGATAGTTTATGCTATCCCAGACAAATCCATCCCTTAACTACATCTGCCTATATAATCCCTAGATTTTGGGCTCTTTAGTTTGCAGTGATTCAGGCAGTTTTCAATCAGGACAAGAGGTGGTCCTGATATTTACAGTACAGAAACAGCAAGAAAGCTTGCACAGCTGAGCACTAAGATTGGGCTCTAACTTTTGCAATAAGCTCTTAGCCTGAGTTGCCTACAAGCGCGCTTTTGGGCACACTGTAGTTACTACAGCCAGCACGTTCCCCTATACTTGTCTGCGACTGTGGTCTCCTTTGCTTCACAGCTTGGAATTCTCTAATCCTTTTCTCTTGTGTTCATTCACTTTGACTTCTCCAGAAGTACGTATCATTTAAATGCTAAATGGGCATAGAATGATTCTTTTACTGGCATAAGTGAAGTCATTTCTATCAAGGGACGTCCTTTACTAGGCTTGTAAGATTTTTTAAAAAATGAAGTATGTTACAAGCCACTGTAGTTTGGGTGTTCGTATGTCTAGAATTATTTTCCTAAGTAGATTCTTAGAAGAAAAACTTCGTGTAGAAACAATTGTGCAAGAGATGAAGCCTTAAAGGGTTAGAAGATGAAAGCTAACTTTTAAGGGTTTAAGATGGTGTCTGGGTCATATGAAGTGCTTGTAAAGGTACCATCTCTTTATTACCTTTAGAGATAGTTATTCCTCTTTACAGCCAGCCAAGGAAATGTGATTTTTTTCCCCCCAGAATTACCTAGGCTCACCAGTGACAGTTGAAACCATGGAGTTTGAGTTTAGAAAAGTTCCTAATTTGTTTAACAGCTAGACTCTTTCCTGTAATCCCAACTGCTCATCGATAGGCTGAGGCAGGATGGTGGAGGCCAGTATGTTTTTTAAAAGGCTGAGGTGGAGCTGTGCAGTAGAGCTGGTGTTCAATCCTCAGGTGCTACCAGAACAGGTCTAGGGCTCCAATTCTGCTACTTACTGTGATACTGGTCAATTAGGGTAAAGAAACTGTCTCGGAATAACAGTAACTGTTCAAATTGTGGATTATAGCATTATGGTAGCCAGGAATTGATACAGGCAGAGTAATTAAGGTGGAAAGGCCTTCAATTTACCTTAAAAAGTGGCATGCTCACTTTAGTTGGATAAATTCCCACCACAGCAAATGGTAAAACATCTAGTAAAAAAAAAATTACTTACAGCCCTAGAAGTCAAAAGAACAAGGACACTGCATTGCACTTTTTTAATTGTGTGGATAGTTTTAAATAAATGAAGAAAGCACCTCTCAGAAGAGTCACTAGCAGAAAAAGAATTCTATCAAAGCATTTACACAGTAAATTTCCATAACTTTACAAAAAATTCTTAATCCTCACTTGAACTGTAGATGAAGGAAAAGGTGCCCTCCTCGGGTAGGTTTGCTTGTGGAAGCAAACTAAGGAAGCTAAAATCAAGCCTGGGGTGCCAAGAGGAAAGAGAAATGATAAAGGGCTATTCACAAATTTCATGTTTACTTTCTGACTAATGTCAGATGAGCCTGACATAAGTATTGTTGGGAAAATTACTACCTTTCAGACAAAAGTAGTCTCAAAAGCTGTAGTTCTGAGTTCCTGTAATATATCTGGATACCCGGACTGCTAGATGTCAAAAGACAATACTTGGGAGCCATTTGTGAGGTCTGAGCAAATACTTTTAGCGGAACACTCTAGAACTGTACACCCTCTACTTTGGTTTATTGAGTGAAGCACAGGCAGGCTTCTTTGCTAGCCTCTGGGCAAGTGTAATAGCCAAGAGAAAGAGCAACAGTATTGGATTATTCCTTAGACACTAATCAGCTGAGGGAAAAGTTCATTGGCAAATGTGTCCTCCCAAGAATGAGCTATACTAAGCGGAGAGGACATATCACTGAAGGGGGAAGGAGAGCCCTCATATCCACAGTCACTATAAGCATCCATCAGGCAGGAAGATGGCTTCAGGCAGTGGCTGGATGAAAGCAGGTTTGAGATACCCAGCTCTGGAATGAAGTCATGTTCTGCAGGTTCTTCCTTCACCGAGACAATGAATTCAGGGTGATCGTTCTCTGAGGGGCTGAGGGGTGCTTCCTCAATTTTCACTACCACATTAGGTTGGCTCTCTATCTCAGAAGGTATCTCTAAGATTAGAGGTTTAGTATATACGTGGTCAAAACGAATTAGTTCATTAATGGCTTCCAGCTTGGCTGATGACGTCCCCATTGAAAGAGAAAGGGAGGCTGGTAAGGAACTAGGTTCTCCTGGGAAGACCTCTGGGAGTTCTTCCAGGCTGGTAGACTCTGGGGAAGGACATTTGAAGAACATGACTGGGTCCAAGTTGTCCAGAATGCCCAACAGGATGTCAGACTGCAAGAGGCAAAAAAGAAATACAGTACAACCATTAGAATACATAGGAGAGTCTACTGAGAAACTCTCAGTATTAGGTTCGTAACGTAAATTAGTTATGCTCTAAGACGACCCCGAGACCCACCAGACCCATTTATCTGTACTTCACTCCACACTGTAAATTAACAGGTGAGTGCAAAGTGGTTGATGTTAACCTGGCTTCTCTTGTCCTTCTGTCTGATTGGACATAACACATAGCAAATAAACGGAATCAATCAGTTATATGACACTTCAGTAAATCAGAAGGATCCCTACCTCAGAGTCTGAAGAGTCAATGCCATCAGAATCCACGGGGAGCTGTTCTGGAGGGGTGACAACTGGGCCTGCACCTGCTGCAGAGGTGCACGTAGTCTGAGTGCTGCGGACTCAGCAGACCCGGCCACCGGCCTCACTCCACTCCCCTAGGAGAAAAACCAACGTGAATAAGCAGCCACAAGTCTCCAAGAAAATGCTCGCTGGGCAGCTGTGATTCTCAGCTCTTAAGAAAGCTAAAACTATCTGTTAGAGCTGAACTCCTTCTCTTACTCCTGTTTTCAATCCTTAAGAGATGAGAAAAAGACAAGACTTGTGGTTTTCTGTGCCCTGAAATATTTTTAAACATTTTTCAAACAAAGAATTCAGGCATACTGATAACTTCCCTCTTCTTCCCCTACCCCCTTGCTAGGGAACTGAACCCAAGGCCGTTGCAATGAGGTATACCCTTGGCCCTTTTTAAAATTTTATTTTGTTGCCCGGGCTGGGTTCAAACTTGCAGTCCTACTACCTCAACCTTAGTACCTGGGACTACAAGTGTACTGTACTATGCCAAATCTTAGAATCTTTTTGAATAGTAGTATTTTAAGAAGTTTTTCTGAACAATGCTTTCACAGTGTAA